CGACAGACGTGACAGCTGGGACAAGGGGTGTCCAACAAGAGGCCAGAGAGAGGGCCCAGTCGCTCTTCCCCTCCTCCCGACACCATCAGCCCTCCCCGCCACGCACCTTCCTCTGGATGGGTGTTGGCACCTTATAGCCCTTCTTCATGATGCCTTTGAACACCGGGTAGCTCAAGCCTGGGAAAGACACAGGAGTAGGAATGACTGGGGGTTGGGGGAGCCCCCTCGGCACCACCTTCCAGAATACTACACAGGACAAATGACTCTTACATTGTCAAATAAGTAGCAAGAGAAAAAAGAAAGCAATAGAGCAAACCCAATTGATTAACTGAAACTTAAGAGACAAATCTATAGCCCGGCTGGTGTGGCTCAGTGGTTGAGCATCAACCCATGCAGCAAGAGGTTGCTGGTCAGGGCACATTCCCAGGTTGTGGGCCAAATCCCTAGTGGAAGGCATGCAGGAGGCAGCCAATCAATGTTCTCTCTCTCTCTTTCTCTCCCTCTCCCTTCCTCTCTCTCTAAAATCTAAATAAAGGAAAAAAAAAAGAGAAATCTACTGATTATGGGGTATGAACCATATGTGGTGGATTCTGATGGGAACACACTCTTAATGCCTGAGACACTGGGGTCTGAATGATGACGGGGCTTGGACGGTACCAAGAACTATGCGTTCGTTTCAGGTGAGTAGGGTCCTGCCTCTCTCGGAGGTAAGCAGGCCGTGTTTAGGGATACAAGGAGGGGATGTCTGGGACTCACTTCAGAATCCTCCAGGATGATGGGGCCCAGTGGGTGGGGTGGGACTAAAATAGGACTAGAAACAGTTGCAGCTGGGATGGGTAGGTGGCGACTCACTGTATTCCATTTTTTGTATGTTTGAAATTTATAATTAGAAGAAAAGGGTGTTACGGGACAAGGGCCCATGACACGTGCAAGCATGGGTGCTGACAAATGAGGCACGTGGTGCTATAAGGGGGAGCAGGAGGCCTGAAGACAGGAAAGCACCCTAGTTTTAGCTGCTTCTTGGTCAATTATCTTTGTGATTCACAAAGACAAGAAATGGCCACATGTAAATGTTTTTATTTGCTTTTTTTCTTTGGTTTTTGATAAATGTTAGCCAGTTTTTAATATAGTTATTGGCTGTCTAGATTCCTTTTGTGAGTTGACTATTCATGTTCTTCACCCAAGTTTCTATTGAGGTGTCTGTCTTTTCCTTATTAATTTGTAAAAGCTCTTTGCATATTAGGGATATTTACCCTTGTCTGGCCCATAGGTTGCAAATATACTCCCAATACAGCATTTACTTTAACATAGTTTACAGTGTTTTTTGGCATACACGTGTCTAATTGAAAAAAAAGTTGAACGGTGCTTGGGTCACAATTAGAAAGTCCTTCCTTCCCTTTCTAGGATTATAAAAATGTTCATGACATGTAAATCTTTGCTCCAGATGCTACTGATTTGTTAACAGCAAGAAAGAGAGTTCAGCCCAGCCGGTGTGGCTCAGTGGTTGAGTGTCGACCCATGCACCAAGAAGCTGCTACTTCGATTCCTGGTCAGGGCATGTGACCAGGTTGTGGGCCAAATCCCCAGTGGGGGGCATGCAGGAGAGCACCAATCAATGTTCTCACTCATCGATGTTTCTATCTCTCTCTCTCCCTCTCCCTTTCTTTCTCTCTAAAATCAATAAAAAAATTTAAAAAAAGAGTTCAGCTGTATTTCCATCTAGCCAGGTTTCCCAATCCCACCCAACTATTGCATCTTTTCCCCTCTGCTCTGAAATGCTGTTGTCATATAGTAAATCCTCAAATGTCTTTGCCTGTTCCTGCACTAGCGTCACCCTCCGTCCTGCTCTAATTGCTCTCTCACTCCGTCAGGCCCGTTGCCCCCTCGAGAAGGCTCTGACTGGCTTTGAAACTGTGTCTGCTGCCTCAGTCTACCTAATACCTCCCACAGTGCTGGGCCCAGAGCAGAGCTTGGAGGGTGTGATAACCCCCGGCTGCTACTCCCCCAATTCCCCAGATGCCTGGTTCACCCACCCATGGACTGGAAGCCTCCCGACTTCTTCTTCTTCTTGTTCTGGGCTCGTACCATCTCCCGCGTGTCCGGCTCCACGTCCGAGGTGCATTCCGAGGTGGGGAAGGCAGGCAGTGGTCTGCCAGGTCCCAGCTAGGAGGGAGGAGAAGAGGAAACATCACGGCAGGCACATCAGGCCAATGGGGGCAGGGAGGGGGCTGTTGTGTTGTCAGTCTGTGCCCCATTTGAGCCGATGACCCTCTTGCCAGATTACATGACTTCCCTACTACAGGGCTCTCCTCTGACTGGGCCAGGACAGGGCAGAGGGGCAAAGAGTGGGCTCTGCAGACCGACTGCTGGTGTTTCAATCCCAACTCTGTCACTTACCACCTGAGACCTCACGCAAGGGCCTTAATCTTCCCTGAGTCTGTGTTTCCACTTCTGGGAACTGGATGACAAGCGCATATGCCTCACAGGGTGTTGTGAAGACTAAATGGTGAGTGTGAAGCTCAGAACAGTGCCCAGTAGGTAGACGGTGATAACATCACCATCATCGTCATCCTGGCCTGTCATTCAAAGCCCTCGAAATGAAAACCTCTAGAGAGCCCATCAAAACTTCTACTATGTGTGAAGTACTAGACTTTTCCATGCTGCTCTGCCCCCCTCTTCTCAATCCCCTTTCTGATTCATCACCCTTACCCAGTTCTGGTCTCTCTCGTGCCTGCCTCCTCTCTGCCCATCCAGGGCCCACTTGTCCCAGCATAGCTAAGTCTAACCCACACACCTCCTCTGGGAAGCCTTCTCAGACTACAGGGCTGTCCCCTTCCTGTCAGAAATAACATGTATGGACCACTAATTCATAATAATGCCTAGAGCTTACATGGCTCTTACTCTAAGCCAGGTGCTAAGCATTCATATACGTTAACCCACTTAATCCTTACGACAACCCCAGGAAGTGGGTGCTATTATTTTGTCATCTTACAGAGAAGGAAACGGAGGCACAGAGAGGTGACGTGACCTGCCTAAGATCACACAGACAGCAGGTGGGAGAATCAGAGTCTATGTTCTTTCCACTGTGACCCTCTATGGTCCATGACACCATCTAGGTCAGGGCTTACAGCCCTTCTAGTATATTCTGTGAGCTAAGAATGGTCATATACATTTTAAAACACTGTCAAAAAGTCAAAGAAGACAGTGACTTTATAGGGCCCTGCAAAGCCTAAAACACTTACCATCTATTTCGTCCTCGGAGGAAAAATTTGCCAACCACGGCTCTAGACACATAACAACAAAGTCCCTGGAACACACAGTGCCCAGCATTTCCCGAATGAGTAGAACATGGGAACATGTCATTTAATCCTTTCCAGAGCCTGTGAGGCACATAGAATCATCAGCCTTCTTCACAAGTGGAAACTTCTACCTTCTACAGATGTGGCTCAGAGAGGTTAAGCAACTTCTCCATTATCCCACAGCCTGAACTGGGTTGAGCCAGATTTGAACACAGGGATGAGCCAGGGCACAGCCCTTAGTCTGAACCACATCCTTGGGCTCGTCTTTGGTACTTAGTACTCTGCCCTCCTGTTCATTACCTTTAGCAGTCTCTCCACATGTATAGAGCACCTACTGCATGCCAGGTACCGGCTAGGCTGGGGAAACAGTGGGATAAGGTCTGGTCCCTGCCCTGGACGGGTATAGACCACTCTCTTCATATAGACACCCACTCATTCATCTACTTACTGAGAGCTACCCTGTGCCAGGCACCGGCTGGGCACAGAGCTGTGGGGAATAATGGGCTACTGCACTCCCTCCTCATTTACATACAGTTGGCACTCTGTAGTGGACACAGCACAGAGTGAAACAGACTGAATCCAGACAGTCCCGGGTTTGAATCCCGGCTCGTCTACTCCCAAACTGTGAGGTCTCGGTCAACTTCCTTTACCAGTCTGAGCCTCAGTTTCCGCCTCTGGGAAATGGGATGACAATACTTAGCTGATAGGGTTGGTGTGAGGATTAAATAAGGCTGGCAAAGCTTAACACGGTGCCTGAAACACACTGGTTGATGAACAAACCCAAGTTTAATTGATTACTAATAGTTTCCCAGAGGCTTGGGGGATCACTGTCCCAACCTACCGGGTTCGGCCTCCCTTTAATTCAACCTCTCAAGAATCCCCTAAACTCTCAAAAGTCAGAGCTTCTGCATCTACACTTTTCATTGGACGAATGGGCACTAGGACCCGCCCCTCGAGTAGGAGGTAGCCAATGAGGAGCGTAAAACCAAACGCCGGCCCGGAAGGCCGCAGCCTCTGGAACGCGGTGGCTCGGTCGGTCAGACCGGGCCTGACGGCCCCGACACACGTGATCCGACCGGCGGTCCTGCCCCGATCCCTTGCCAGCTGACCTCTCCCCACCCTTGGTAGTGCCCGCTCCCCAGCTGGGGAAACTGAGGCCGCGGGGCGCCGCACGGAGCCGGGGTTCGGGCTCCAACGTGTGTCCCTGCCCCGCGATCCCACCTTCTGAGCCCGGGTGTCATCTTCCGCCTGGATCTCAAACTCGCCGTCCTCCGAGTCGCTGCTGCGGGCTTCAGAGGTTGCGCCCCGGCGCTTCCGAAGCCCCTTCTTTTTCTTCCGCTGGGCCATAGCAGCGCGGGACCGCGGTCGGGCCGCCGGGCGCGTGCCGGCAGCCATGCGGGGCCGGCGCAGGAGAACGGAAGGGGGCGGGGCCTGCGGGACGGACCACGCGCGGCCGGTGGGGGGACGCGGCGCCTCTGCGGCCCCGGCTGCGCTCCCTCTTCAGCAGCCCCAAGAGGCTGGGCGCGAATGCCCACGCTCCCCTGACCGGCACGAGAGGCCCCTCTCTGAGGCTTTGGGGAGCTCGGGGGCGTCCGGACCTGGGCGCTCCCCCCCGGGCGCGAATGGTTCCGGCCGCACCGCCCAGACGCTGGCTGGTTGCTGTTTGATGCGCGCGCGGAGCACACGTCGCTAGGGCCTGGCTGTCTGGTGAGTCGGTCCGCGCGGTGCCCGAGGCGGCGGCCGGGGGCGGCCCGAGAGGCCCGCGTTCCAGGACTCCGGGATTCCGGAGCCCGGATAAACTGGGATCACGGATGCACCGCGCGCCACGGGTGCCCGAGCACCCCCTCGGAAGAGCTCAGACCTGGTGGAAAGGGGCCCTGAGGGTTGCAGCCGACATCCGGGAGCCAAGATGCTCAGGTAGGAAATAATGCAGGGTCGTCCGACTTCAGCCCGGACGTTGACTTGGGGTGGGGCATGTGGGGCAGTTGAGGGGACGCGATCCCCCTATAGTAGAATGGTTAAGTGTACAAGCTACGGATTCCTATCCGGTTCAAGTTCTGTCTCCTCTGTTTTAGCTTTATAGGTGTGACTTACACACGTGGCGTCACCTTTTGAAGCCTCAGTTTTGTCATCTGTAGAATGGACATAAAGCTGCTTCGCAGAACTGATGAGAGGATTAAATGAGACAATGCTTCCAAAGCTCTTTGCACGAGGTAGATATGAGCTTGAAAGTGGTTATTTCCATGTCCTGCTGGTGTGGCTCAGTGGTTGAGCGTTGACCCATGCATCAAGAGGTCCCCAGTTCTATTCCCGGTCAGGGCACATGCCCAGGTTGTGGGCCTAATCGCCGGTAGGGCGCATGCAGGAGGCGGCCAATCGATGTTCTCTCTCATTGATGTTTCTATCTCTCCCTCTCCCTTCCTCTCTCTCTAGAATCAATAAAAAGGGAAAAAAAAATTAGAAAGAAAAAAAAAGGTTTTTTCCTGCCCCATAAATATATACAGGATATAAGGATCTGCCCTTGTCTTCCCCCTCCCACCATAGTTTGTTTTGTGATTGGTGCCAAAATGGCCACAAGGCCCATCTCTTCATCCCCCTAGTCTATAAATATTATTGAGTACACACCGTGTTCTAGGAATACATAGTCATTAAATATTTGTGGCACTCCTCTCCTCATCACTATGAGAACTAAAAAAGCCGAACAAATTTCTGAAATGTCCCCAGAGGTTGGCCGTTCTTCTTTGAGGAGGGTTTGAGGGAGAACTTGACCCTTTTGCCCTTGGGATGGGGACTTAAGAGACTGCCAGTCTTTTTCTGGTGGCACTGCCGATGACAGAGAGGTGGCACCCTGACCCCTTTCACAGGGAGCCCTGGAGGCACGAACTGGTGGGCAGAGCATGCCTGCTGTCACCTGGGACCACAGGCAGCATGAAGACCCACATGGAGCTGGCCATCAGCGGGATGCAGACCCTCCGCCGTCAGCACCGCTGCCGGGGCGGCTATCAGGTCAAGGCCAGGGCATCATACGTGGATGAGACTTTGTTTGGCAGCCCTTCAGGCACCCGGCCCACACCACCAGACTTTGACCCACCCTGGGTGGAGAAGGCCAACAGAACCAAAGAGGTGGGCACAGAGGCTTCACGGGCTTCAGGGGCCAACGGGAGCTGTGAGACCACCTCCTCCAGGGGCAGTACCCCGACCCTCACACCAAGGAAGAAGAACAAATACAGGTAACAGCATGGGGAGATGCACTCCTGCACAAAGTATAGCCACTTAGGTTTCTATTAGAGCCCTGCTGTTCGCATGCTGTGTGACCTTGGGCAGGCACCTTGACCTCTCTGAGCTGCAATTTCCTCATGTGGAAAATGGAATTTCGTGGGATTATTGAGAAGATGAAATGAGAGGAGGTGTGTGCTGACACTGAGGAAGCCCTCAATAAATGGTAGTGATGATGGTTGTGATGGTGGAGTACCCATCCCAAAAAGTCAGACTGGCATCTGAGGCCGAGAGGTCAGGATTGGCCCAAGATCACAGAGCAATTTGCAGAAGATTATTAGTGTGGTTGATCCATGAAATGACATAGATGCGGTGGTTCCAAATTTCAGCAAGTCATTTTGAAAATGGTTCTTGCTGCATATTCATGAAGAAGTTAGAAAAACAGGAGCTGATGCTAAGGGTTATAATGTAATTAGATTAGGATTAGATTATTGGGATTATTCCAGATTAATATCACCCTGGAAGGAGGTATCTAGTAGTGGGCCACCGGGCTCCTTGTGTATCAGTGGTTTGGACAAAGACACAGGAGACTGGTGTATTCATCAATTATGGCTGCCATGACAAAATACCATAGACCGGGGAACTTACCAACAGAAATTTGTTTCTCACAGTTCTGGAAGCTTGAAGGCCAAGATCAAGGCACCAGTGGGGTTGGTTTCTCCTGAAGTCTCTCCGTGGCTTGCCGACGGCCTCCTTTTCACTGTGTCCTCACATGGCCTTTCCTTTGTGGGCATATATTCTCCTGGTGTCTCTTCTTAACGGGACACCATTCCTAGTGCATTAGGGCCTCGCCCTCATGACCTCATTTAACCTGAATTCTTTAAAATTCAACATGAATTTTGGGAGGTCACAATTCAGTCCATAGCAACTAGCCAATCATATTTAGGATCCATTCTGAGCCAGGAGGGACATCCTTTAGTCAAGAAAGGGGAATGGTACCTATTTAAGGAGATAAAATTCAACGAGCCAAAAATAATAAAATTTCAGCGAGCTAAAAGCAAGACTTGCTATTATCATGTAAGGATGAGGGCGATATCCCTGACAAGGTTTGTGGCCCACAACCTGACAAGGGTCAGGTTGACATTAGCAGCACTGATACCTACAGTATGGCTGAAAATGCTGGTGTAAATGTAGGCTGCAGTAACAGAAATAGGGTGTCCGTGACAGGGACGGTTACAGTCAACCCCATGCTCCTGGAGGATGGAGTTTTGTACTGACAAGTAGAGGGTGTCATGTAAGAAGGTGCATAAGAAGTAACGATGTCATTGAGCAAGAGCTGTGGCACCAAATATGGTTTGAGAAGTTAAATAAAGTGGCAAAAGGTTGACTTTTCAAAGACTTAAAGTTTGGGAATTTGAGCACTCTCGGTCCTGGTCAGAAACCACGGACCTCACAGGTACGCTGTGAGTACTTGTGGGATTAATTTTAAAAAATGATTGCTGAGTGAACCTAGTTAAAGATGAGAGGCCTAGAAGGCATATATATGTCTACTTTACTGATCGGGAGCCAGGCTGGATTTGAATCTTGTCTCTTCCCTTCTTCCTGTGGGGCTTTCCCTTCCCTATACCTCGGTTTTCTTGTCTGTAAATGGGCTGTGTCCTCGCTGTGGGTGCTAGGCTGGGAGACAGGGACTTCTGGGATCTACGGGCAACCCTCTCTGTTGCTGCAGGTGCCTGGCGGGTGGGTGGGTGGGGGTTAGGGGTGTAGAGTTTGTTCACTCCATCCGCTCACTGTGTTTCTCTTCCTTTCACCAGACTGATCAGCCACACTCCTTCTTACTGTGATGAGTCACTGTTTGGCTCCCGACCCGAGGGTGCCAGCTGGGAGGCCCCGTGGAGGGCGAAGGGTGGTGCTGCAAAATTCCACACCCTCTTCTGGACACCCCCGGCCACCCCCAGGGGCCACTCGCCCCATCCCAGGGAGACCCCGCTGCGTGCCGTTCACCCAGATGGTCCCTCGAAGACAGAGCCTAGGGTGGGGGAAGTCGCCCGGAAGGTGTCCATGGATAGGCTAGACTCTCCACGCCCTCCGAGGCGGGGGCGTTCCTATTCCCTCACCCTCCTGAATGGCCCCAGCACTGGCCACCCAGCCACCAGTGGCCCGCACACAAGTGGGCCTCAGGATCCCGGGCCTTCCCCGTCGGGGGTGACCTTCCGGAGCCCCCTGGTGACGCCCAGGGCTCATTCAGTCAGTGCGTCAGTGCCAGCCACCCCCCGACGAGGTGGGGCCACCCAGAAACCAAAGCCCCCTTGGAAATGAGTCTTTTGATCCTTCCATCAGGTTTGCCCATGGGGTTACAGCTGGGGCACCATCTCAGAGGATGGCACAGGTGGGGAGACCACCAGGCACAGAGAAGTGCTCATGGCGGCAGACACGGTGAGGGTGGCCAGGGACGCCCTCTCCCCTGGCGGTCTCTGGTTGTTTCCCCAGAGTGGATTTGAGGGCCACCCTTGAGACACCTGTTCTAGTCCTGTCAGAGCCACATGCTCTATGAGTGCCAACTCAGGGCTGCCCCCGGAAGGGGCCCTCCGCCTCCCCATCACTTCCATACATTGTCTTGCCGCCAAGTATGAATAAGTGCTGTGGTGCCAGCCTGGAGGGTTTCTTCTCCCCCACTTCAAGCTGAGCTTCCTGCTCAGGATGTTTCCAGCCAGGTTTGGAGGCCTCAGGAATTTTCCCTGGCACGGTGTGTGGACCACAGGGGACACGAGGATCTGGTGATATGTGGGTGGACTTTCTACTTTAACACTCATGTATTTATTTCTATGTATTAAATCTGTCAGTAGCTCATCAAAGCCATGGCTTTTACTAATTTCATTTTCCTTAGGCCTGTGTTGATTAAATTATGTTAAATAACACAGCAAGGAAGTAGCAGAAATCACGACAGGCGCGTGGGCTCCAGAACACAGGGCTCACGCAACATGGGGCTCCTCCTCCCATCGGTCAGCCAATACCACGAACTCGTGGGTCGGTGGGTTCTTTCTGAGCTCAGAGTGTGGGCCAGACTTTCATACATTTCCCACCTTTGCAAATATAAACAGCGACCAGGACTTACCGAGTGGAGGGCCCCAAGTCCAGAAAGTTACACGTGCACCTGGAGAGCGTTTGGGGCCGAGGCCTAAGGGGTCAGGGCGTGACTTTCCTTCTCCACTGCTTGTTGGCTACACCACCTGGCCGCCTACAACAGCAGCACAGCCTTTGCTCAGATGCACCCAGAATCCCAGCACCCCTGGTTCGGGGGGGTCTGGGCTTTGAGCCTCGCCTTGTCCCCTGAGGCACCTCCAGAAGCAGAGATTCCAGCCAGCCCAGCTGGAAGCCCTGTCATTGGTCTGCAGCGCCTCCTGGGGCAGGGAAGAGCAGAAACATCTGGGTAGCAGCCTGGGGGTGCTGCCAGTGGCCAGGGCCGTGGATGCACATGGGGGAGAAAGTCAGCAGCTCTCTTGGCACAAACACTGCATTTTAAACGTGGGATTTTTAAACTTCATAGAACTTTCACAAAGAATTCGTTCCCTCCCTCCCAGCTCTCTGCCTTTATCCCCTCCCTGTGTTAATAGACATGGGCCAGAAATATCTCTCTCTCCTCTCAACTAGACTAAAAGAGAGGCAACAGCCTGAGTGCTGATAAAGCTGTGGTGTCCAGGAAGACAGTTGGGAGTGGTGGGGACTGGGGCAACCTGCAGTCTGCCGTCGAATGGGTGCTGCAGCTCAGCTCTGGAAGGCAGGCAGGCCCAGGGTATCTGGGTGATGAGATTTTTTTCCAGAAAAGGTAGGAAGCTGGATTTCTTTGTGAGGGTCTCCAATTTCTTTCAATGCCAGCAATTACTTTATTTTTTAATCCTCACCCAAGGATATTTTTCTATTTATCTTCAGATAGAGTAGGAGGGAGAGAGAGAAACGTGGATGTGAGAGGGACACATCAACTGGTTGCCTCCCACACAACCCAACCCGACCAAGGCCAGGGATGAACCATAACCAAGGTACACGCCCTTGGCCAGAATCGAACTTGAGACTCATTGGTCCTCAAGCCAACACTCTACTGCTGAGCCAGACCGTCCGGTTTGGCTCAGCGGTTAGAGCGTCGGCCCGCGGACCAGAGAGTCCCAGGTTCGGTTCTCACTAGGGGCGGCACGTACCTCGGTTGCAGTTTGTCCTCGGCCCCAGTTGGGGTCGTGTGGGTGGCAGCCAGTCGATGTGTCTCTCTCACATCAATGTTTCTCTCTCTTCCTCTCTCCCTCTCATTCTATGCAGAAATGTCCTCAGGTGAGGATAAAAATAAATAAATAAAAAATTTTTAAAAAGTTACATTGTTCAACTACCTGGGCACCAAATAAAGCCAGCGGGGAGGCTGCTGGTTTATGATCTTCGGACTCCTGAGCTCCCACAGTGCTGGCTGGGGAGAAGCTGTGGGCAAATGGACAACCCCAGAGCAGGGGCTGAGGGCCGCCTGAAGTCCTGGTCCCACCCCACACCCGCAGTCCCGGTGGATGAGGTGACCGTCGTCCATGGCAGCTTCTGGTCTGGGACCACGGGGGCTGCACTCTGGCCTCTGGCTTCCCATGGAGGCTAAAGGAAGGAACGGTTACGAGCTGCCACCGCAGCCTGTGTGCTCCCCGTGTGGAACCTGCACCTTCAGGTGTGGACGTGCACACAGCCAGCAGCCCTGGGCACAAGGAGGCTTATTTGTAGGATGTGGTTTAAAATGGTTTTTAATGTTGAGGAAGTGTTAAGGCCGTGACCTCCGGGATTCCCCGTTCAGTGGCTTCCTGGCCTGCTCTCCGGGAGAAGGGCTCAGTGAGCACGGGGGTCGGAGCAGGGCTGGGGAGGTGCTCATTTCTTGCCCTTGGCCTTCTTCTTGCCCTTGGCGTTCTCCTTGCCCTTCTCATCCTTCGATTTGCCCTTGCCCCGCTTCTTTTTCTTGGAGCTGAGCATAGAGCGGACGAGGTAGCCCTTCCACATGGCCTGGATGAGCGTGGCCGCGCGGACCATGCGCACCAGCTCCTGCTCGTCCTCCAGCCTCTTCTTGGAGTTGATCTCCCGTTCCTCCCGGATCTGGGTGAACTCTTCAACCAGCACGTCGTACCTCTGCTTCAGCTCCTCCAGCTGGACCTTCTCCTCCCTGTGGATGATGTCCAGCTCCTCGTACTCGTCCTGGGGATGGAGAGGGTGGGGGGCTCATCAGGCATGGGGCCTGCCCAGTATCCTCCTCTGCGTGCATGCCCACCCTTCCCAAAGGGGGTTCCGCCCCAGCAATGCCGTCTGCACTAAGCCTGTCTGCCTCCAAGGCCCGGATGAGAGTGGGAGGGGTGATGAGGTCCAGCCTAGCTCGAGGGGGGACCGGACTATGGGAATTCCAGGGACGGGGAAAGAGCAAGGCTTGTGGGTTGGCTGGAGGAAGTACAAACCCCAGCTCAGCCACTACAGGCTTCACCTTTCAAGCCTTCATTTTCCCTTATCTGAACATGGGGACAATTCCAGGAGGGGGATGCATGGGAGCCGTTTCCGGATTAAGTGGGGGGATGGACACAATTGCTGGATGTCGTGCTGGGCACACGTGGGGACCTAAGAAATGCAAGCTGCTGTCACTGAAGCTGTTGTTTCACAGAGAGATGGTGAATCGAACTTTCTCAGGTGACTAAGTCCCATAGTTCTTCCTTATGTCTAACTACAGCCTCTCCTGCTGTGTTTCACACCTATCTCCCTCCCTCCCTTCCACTAATGTTTACCAAGCATCTACCAGAACAAAGTGCTGTCAGAGGACGCAGGGTTGAGCAGGAATCCACCCCCACCCCACTCCCACCCCTGCTGGGACCAGGGAAATGAGAGCACAGCCTCCACAGTGTCCCCTCCCTGGAGCACTCAAGGTCAGTCAGACCTGACCTGACGTTCCCTGAACAGCACACTGACTTTGCACCACTGTGGGCTGGTATCACCCACAGTGCTCACCAGGCTTCCCTGGCCCCGAAGCCAGGGCCTGTGCCTCTGAGGCTATCACAGGGCTGGGTGGAGGGCTTGAGGGCACCATACTGCAGGCTCCCATTCCCTGAGCATTCCTCCGGGCCAGATCCTGTGCTGGGTACAAGCGCTTGCGGTGATGGTGCCTCACTGAATCCCCACCATGCTCCCAGCACAGGTAGGATTACCTCTGTTGACCACGTGCAGAAACAGGCTCAGAAAGGTCACGCCTCTTGCTTAAGGTCACACAGCTGCTAAGTGACACTGGGGTAGGGCCTCCAAATGATAACGGGGCCTTTCTTCACTCTATTTCCCAGCACCTGGCACGTCGCAGGCACTCAGGAGAGACTTTCTGAGTGACTGAGTAGGGGAGGCAAGCCGATGTCTGAGTCTGCCCGGGACGAGCCCTGGCTTGGGTGCTAGCAGGAGCTGACCGAGGAAAGAACAGTATGGCTTGTGGACACTAGATGGAGCCAGGATCCTTGGGCCTAGTGTCAAGCACTTCTTAGAGGCCCATAGCTTCTGGATCCTTCCTTTCCCACCTCTCCCCTCGCTTCCCCAGGCTAGACAAACCCTTGAGCCTAGGGAAGGAGCAGGGAAGGGCCTGCTGCAGGCCCATGTTCCCAGGCCTCCTTGGGGAGGCCCAGAGCTTGGCCAAGACCAGGGACCATCCTGGGGCCTCTTTTCCCACGGCCCCATTCCTACAGGATTGTGGGAAGTACACTTAAGAGAGACTTATGCAGCGATAAATACCTGCTTTTCGCCCATCTCTGTATCGTATTTCTGGATCCAGTTCTCGATTTCCGTCTCCACTTTATATTTCTTCTAAAATCGAATTAATCATGGTTTGAGGAACTGGTAATCACAATAAACAAGGCCGAGCACTCTCCCCATCCACCGGCCCTGTGGGGGGAGCTTTACACGCCTCGCCTGTGGATCCAAAGGTAGGTTCTCCTCTGTTTCACAGGTGAGGAAACTGAGGGTCAGACGTGCTAACTCACTTGCCCAAGGTCACAGAGCTGAGGAGTGGTAGAGCTCGATTTGAAGCCAGAAGTCTGGCTCCAGAACATCCTAAGCAGAGGGAGCAGCAGATGCAAAGGCCCTGGGGTGGGAACAAGCTTGTGGTGTTTAAAGACCAGAAATCAAGTCAGTGAGGCTGGAATGGAGCGGTTGAGGAGAAGCGTGGTCCCAGTGAGGGTGGAGGAGCTCTGTCACAGAGGCAGTATCAGCAGGGGGAGGGGCTTGGCTTCTAGTGTAAGGGGGAGGGGAAGCCACTGGGAGGATTTAGATGCAGTGGAAGGACGTGATCTAATTTTTATTATTTATATTTATTTTTTTATTTTTTTAATCCTCACCCGAGGACATTTTTGCATTTATCTTCAGATAGAGCGGGAAGGAGAGAGGGAGGAAGAGAGAGAGAAAAACATCGATGTGAGAGAGAGACATCTATCGAGTGGTTGCCACCCCCACGACCCTAACCGGGGCCGGGGACAAACTGCAACCGAGGTACATGCCCTTAGAGGGAATCGAACATGGACTCTCTGGTCTGTGGGCCAACGCTCTAACCGCTGAGCCAAACTGGCCAGGGCTGATTTTGCTTTTGAAAGATCAGCTCCTGTCCATAGAATGGACTATTATTCAGCCATTAAAAAGAATGAAGTACTGACACATGCTACAACACACATGAACCTCGAAAACATGATGCTCAGTGAAAGAAATCAGACACAAAAGGCCACATGTATGATTCCTTTGGCACAAAACATCCAAACAGGCAAATCCATAGAGACAGAAAGGAGATTCGCAGCTCCAGGGACTGGAGGGTGGGGGGACTGGGGAGAAACTGCTTGATGGGTGTGGGTTTTGCTTTTGGGTGATGAAAGGGACCCGGCCGTGGTGGTCGCACAACACTGTGAACTGTTCACTTTAAAATTATTAATTCCATGCTATGTGAATTTCACCTTAATTTCAAAATAATAATAAACCAGCTTCCTAATCCTACAGAGTAAGAATTCTTAACTTGGGCACCATGGATGGGATGGCGTCGGGGGGCCTGTGACCCCCAAGAATTGTCTACCAGTGTATATATGTACATCTGTGCTGTTCTGTGTGGGGGGAGAGGCCCATGGCTTCTATCGGAGGCTCAGAAGAGTCGTGACACTAAAACGAAACCGGAACGAGTACTAGAAAGGGTGTCCTTCGTGAGGAAGGGACTTGGAAAGGATCTGGTGCACGGTGGGCCTGAGTCTGGCAGTGATGACGCAGAAGCGAAGGAGGCAATGGTGTTTCCTGCGCACCTATTCTGTACCAGCTGTCTGCCTGTCGCCTCATTTAGTTCCTATAATAACCCATTAAGGCTGATTTGATCACTTTCATTTTAAAGATGTGAAGACTGCAGGCCTGAGGGTTCAATGCTCCTTTGGTTCCTTCGTGTGGTATCTGACAAGGTGGGTTTCATCATCCCCGAAAAGCCCAGAGGAGTTGGGGAACAAGATCACAGAGCGGGCGTGCAGCAGCAGGACGGGACCCTGCCTCTCTGTCCCCAGCCCCGGGCCTGTGTGCTGCACCCTCCTGCCTCCCAAAGGACACTGGCTCAGCCCTGGGCTTCCTGAGCGGCTGGGCAGCCCTGCCCTACATGCTGGACCTCCCCCGCCCTGTCCCTCGCCCAGTGGCTCCCTTGTCCCCTCCTCCCTGCTCCCCAGGCACCTTCCTCAGCGCCTGCTCTGCCTCCCGGTTCTCCATGACCAGGTTGTGGTGCTGTGACCGCAGCTGCAGAATGTCCTGCTGGATCTTGGCCACCCTGGCCTGTGAGGCCCGGAAGTCCGCCTTCTGCTGCTTCTCGGCCTCCTGCTTGGTGCGAAAGAGGCTGTTCTCGGAGAACTTGAGCACCTGGTGCAGGTGGTTTTTCAGCTCTTGGACCACAAAGTTCTCCTTCTCCACCTGGGCCAGGAAGAGGGGAGGCTCTGTTACTACCTACGTGACCACCGCTCACCGCAGGAGAAGCTGGACATTCGGCATTGTCCCGGCTGCATCCTGCGCTCACCCCGATGGGCACAGGGGCAGCCGATTACAGACGAGGAAACTGAGGCTGAAGGGCTCCTCTGTCCGGCGCGGTACACCTGAGCCAGCGTTTGAAACCAGGTCTGTCTGATCGAGAGCCTGGGTTCTTGGCCACCCCCTCTCTTTCCTGGCATGAGGGAAAGGCACAGGCGAGGTCTGGGAGTGCCACTGCTGCTGGGGGCACCTGGGGCTGCCCACTTGGCAGAGACGCAGAGCGATGCACGAAGCGGTGATAAACACACGCTGCAGGACTGCCACCCGCTCTCCTCTGAGGGCCTGGTTTGTCCCCTGCCCTCGGTTCAAAAATAGGGATGGGGAGGAGGCTGGGGCTGCTTTGTAAGCAAGCTGGAGGCCCTGGAGTCTGAGCCCGCTTCCCACACACAGCAGGGAGGGAAGGGGCACCCGTGGGCAAGGCTTCAGGCCCTGGGCTGGCTTTTAGAGCAGGTGGCACTGTCATCTTCCCTTGTGGACTCCACACGATGCCTGATCGGTGTCACCCCCTCATTCTACACTGAGCTCCAGTGACATGATGAAATTTGCCCACCTGGCAAAAATGGAATTTGACCCCAGATCTATTCAACTGGGAAACCCTAGGTTGGTTCCACCACCTGAATCGGACCAGCAAAGCCACATGGGGCCCTTGCTCTGTCCCTTGGTGACACCCCTCCAACCTAAGAGTGGCCTCTTCTGGCTGAGCACCCAGGAGCCGGTCACCTCTCCACTCGGCAAACAGTTACCACACACCCCTTTCTGTTCTTGGCTCACTCATGACAGACACACTGGAGGGCCAACAGAGACAAGGTCTCTGTCTCTTCCGGGGGAGCTAGACCCAAATCAGACAATCATACACATGTTTGCCAGCAAACTCTGATGAATGCCTTAAAGGACAAAATCAGTGATAACTTTCCCAGCTGGTGTGGCTCAGTGACTGAATGTCGACCCATGCACCAAGAGGTCACCGGTTCAATTCCTGGTCAGGACACATGCCTGGGTTGTGGGCCAAATCCCCGGTGGGGGGCATGCAGGAGGTGGCCAATCAATGTTCTCTCTCATCGATGTTTCTCTCTTTAAAATCAACAATAATAATAATAATAATAAAAGAACAAGACCACCCAAGACAAAGAAAAGAAAAAACACAGGCTATACATGCTTTTAAAAAAAAAAAAACAATCAGTGATAACTTAAGGAAGAGGGGTGCTTGAGCTAGTAAGAACATGGGGGTGAGGGAGTGGTAAACAGCTTCAAAGGGCCTTGGTCGCTCCTCTCTCATGGGGGTGAAAGGGAAATGCTTGGGACCTGGGTACACACATTCCCCTCCACCTGGGGCGGGGAGTCTTCAAACAAAAGCCCACAGGCCAAATCTGGCTGGCTGCCTGTATTGTAAATAAAGTTTGGTTGGAACATAACCCATTCATTGATAGATTGCTTATGGCGGCTTTCACACTAGAACAACAGAGTTGAGTTCAGCAGTTACAACTGAGACTGCTTGGCCCCCCAAACCTAAAGTATTTACTATCTAGCCCTTTGTAGAAAAAGTTAGCCTACCCTTGGCCTGGAAGGTTCTTCCCTATCTCACCTGCCTGGCTCACTCCCTCTAATTCTTCACGTCTTGGTTTTACCATCCTCGGCCCTCTTGGCCTCAGTTCAGCTCCCCTGTAACCCTCCTTACAGCACCTCACACTTTCCCTTCATTGTGTGGCTCGAAACTGCATTAAACCGGCCCAAACCCACCTTCTTCACTGTAAACTCCACGAGGCTGGGACCATGTGGGCTTATTTATAAGACCTGGCACTTAGCAAATACTCAAACCCGCATTCGTGGAATAAACGGATGAAAACCTCTACTTGGATCACTGAGGGGAAACCAAACTGCCAAAAGATCTGGGCTCCTCGGGGCAGCTCCCTCCATAATTGGACCGGTACTGTAAGCGATACCTCCGCGGCCCTGTTCTTCATTCTCGCGGCCAGTTCGTTCTCCAGAGCATCGATGACTTCTTGGTTCCTCTTGTTCCGCTTCGTGATGTCCTGTACGAACTGAGTCTTGTCTCGAGCTTCCATGGGGCTGGTGAGGAGCTTCTCAAACAGGAAACCCCGGAGTTCCACCAGGCTCTCGATGAACCTCTGGGCTCCCGCGCTTCTGCCCTGCGTCTGCATCTGCAGGAGCCCGGCGGCCTGCGGGTTCTTGAGCAAGAGCCTCAGGATGTTCTTGGTGGAGTCTTTGACCTGCTGCTTGAGCGGCAGGAGGTGGGATTTCTGCCGCTCTATGGAGCGGACGTGGTCTTTGAACCACGCTTCCTCCTCGAAGTCTTCCTCCTCCTTCGACCGCCTTTCTTCCTCCTGCAGGTGACCGAGGTGATCCAGGAGCGTCTGGCAGAGGTGCTCGTGTTCGTTCACTGCCCTGGTGATGTCCTTACCCAGCATGTCCTCCAGACCTTCCTGGTTGGACGCCACACACCCCAGCAGGGTCACCAGCTCCACCTTCTGGATGGTCTCGTCCAGGACGGACATGATCCTCTTGGTCTCGATGGTGGTGAGTTTGGTATTCAAGGGGACGGAGGATTTTAGTGAGGAGGCTGACTTTATGGATGGTTCTGCCACCAGCCTTACCCTGCTCATGTCAGGGCCCTGGTAGAGGGGGCCCACGGCGAGGACGTCTAATGCCATTTTATCAAAGATCCAGACTTGGCAGACTAGATGGGCCTTCTGCTTTTACTCTGCCTAGAAATCCTGAAAAAGGAAGGAGTAAGCAGTCACTCGGGCTGTGCAGACATCGGGGTGGCTGGTGTGGCCACAGCCACCATCAAATTGACATGATGTGCCCTGCAGCTTTTACAGAGAACCCTCCTCCCATAAAAAAAGCAGTTCGTGGCTCTGGGACAGTGTCAGGGCCACAAGGGTAGGAGGCCACGTGTGGAGGTGGGGCTGGGGCACAGGCGACAGGCAGGGACCCACCAGGAATGCTGACCTCATTCTAAGTATTTAAATACAGAAAACCAGCCCTGGCCGGTTGCTCAGTGGTTAGAGCATTGGCCCGTGGACCGGAGAGACCCGGGTTCGGTTCCCGCTAAGGGCATGTACCTCGGTTGCGGTTTGTCCCTGGGCCCGGTTGGGGTGGCAACCAGTCGATGTGTCTCTCTCACGTCGCTGTTTCTCTCTCTTCCTCCCTCTCTCCCTCCCGCTCTATCTGAAGATAAATGCAAAAATATCCTCGGGCCTTGGCCGATTTGGCTCAGTGGTTGGAGTGTTGGCCTGCGGACCAGAGAGTCCAGGGTTCAGTTCCCGCTAAGGGTATGTACAAAAAAATGTCCTCGGGTGAGGAAATAAATAAATAAATAAATAAATAAATAAATAAATAAATAAATAAATAAATACAGAAAACCAGTGACATCGGTGATGGGAGAGTTGAGAGGCCAACCAGGGCAAGGTGAAGCCCTCCCCCCAGGCCCCAGCAATTTGAGTGGCAGGAGGAGGTGGTGAGCTTTAGGATCAGGGTCACCCAGGAGAAGCTGGAACCAGAGCCATTTCCTATCCAGGAGGAGCTGCAGCCCCAGAGGACCTGTGGCCACGGCCAGAAACAGCCCACAGCAAAGAGGGGAGAAATACTCTGGGGTCTCCCTTCGCCCTGCCCTCCAATCTAACACCAGGGCTTCCCATTGGTCAAACCCAGTGAGGAACCAAGTGACAAGGGAGCCCGGGCAATGCAGCCTCCCCAGCGGGCGCAGCAGCCGGACACAGCAGAACAGGGACTAGGACCAGCACAGCACGTCTGCGCTGGGTTTTGAGTATGGATTTTGAAAATCAGGGTGGGATGAACAAAGACTTTGAAATACAATGTTTAAAAAACTTTTTTGCTAAATGCAACATTGTATCCTAGATTGAATTCTGGAAGGGGAAAAAAAGGAAGTGAGTAGGAAAACCGGTGCAATCCAAATCCAGTGGCTAGTTTAGTCAATAGCATTGTGTTGATGTTAATTTCACATTGTTAGTTTGGACGAACTGTAACATGGTCCTGTTAACAGTAGGGGGAGCAGGATGAAGGGCATACCAGGGCATACCAGCTTTCTGCGCTATCTTGGCAACTTTTCTGTCAAGTTACAACTATCACAAAATAAAAAGCCTATTTCTAAGACTGCTTCAGAAAAATCTATGGAGGCAATCAGAAATCAATTTACGTCGCCGACATGGCATGATGGCTAAGAGAATTATCTCTGCAGCGGCCCCATTTGGGTTCACATCCTTGCTAGGGGACCTTGGGCTGGTTGTCTAATCCTCCTAAGCCCAGGCGTCATCAGCCATAAGACAGGGATCTTCAGATCTTATGGGAAGTTTCTTGCACAGGGCCTGGACATTGTGAATGCTAAATTAATAATAATAGTAATAATAATAATAACAATAATAGCCCAGGAAAACTGAAATCCCAAGTCCAGACTTCAGTGATTTCCCAGTCTCAGCCCCGTTGGAGATCCAGATATATCTCATGAACACTTACTACCCAGGACCGGCTGGACTCCCAGCATTACGTGTCTAAGACGGACACCACCACGTGCCTATTCCGCACCCTGTTCCTTCTTTATCCCTTGTCTTGACGATACATCAGCCATCCTAGTTGCTCAAGTCAGAAAGCTCAGTGCCACCCCACACTCTTCTTTACCCCTACATCTGACCTGCCATCCAATTCCATCAGTGATTTCTCCTCCACAGCTCCCACTCCATGTCCTTCCTTTTCAGCAGCCTCTGCCACTAAGGGCCTTATAATCTCTCCCTCAGATGATTAAAGAGCTTCTTAACTGGTCTGCTCCCATCTGCTCCTGCTGCCCGCAATAAAGATCATCCCTGTAGTCATCTATTCTGGTCTTTATTGGGCCCTTGGGAATATGAAAGAGATACAAGGCATGGCTCCCGTCCTCCCAGAGTTTACAACCTAGCTTGGGATCTAAAGCATGCACACATGAAGGTCCCCTCTAAGAGGAAGGGGATAAAGCAGTCACAGACTGGGACAAGATTATGACCAGCCTGCAACACTGGAGTGGGGGCTTGATCCTTTAGGGAATTGGAATCCGTTTTGATTGCAGGAAGAGTGACAGGGGGAAATCAGATGTTTGAAAAAGATCTGTTGTATGGATGATTCGTAGGGAAGGGCCAGTGGCAGGCAGGTAAGCTGAGATACTATAAACCTTCCAACTGGGGGCCTCGGTACCCGTTGTTTCTATTTTCTGAAGTGCACTTCTCTCTCTTTTTTGCCAAATTAATTTCTTACTCTCAGTTCAAGTGTCACTTCTTCAGTGAAGCCTTTTCTGGGCTTCCAGCCCTGGTGGGATTCTCATGACAGGTTCTGATCATGACAAGCCCCTCTGTGGCAAGCACCATCCCCTATCCCAACCTCATTCCCTTTAAAAAAATTTTTTTTTCTTTATTGGTTTTAGAGAGAGAGAGGAAGGGAGAGGGAGAGAGAGATAGAAACACTGATGGGAGAGAACATTAATTGGCCACCTCCTGCATGCCCCCCACTGGGGATCAGACCCACAACTTGGGCATGTGCCCTGACTGGGAATCGAACCAGCGACCTTTTGGTTCATGGGTCGTTGCTCAACTACTGAGCCACACTGGCCGGGCCCTCATTCCCTTTTGATGGCCTCTATTGTAGGGGCTGGAAATACGTAATGCTCACCGTCTCAGCCTCCTTTACAGCCAGGGGCCATAGACACAGTTCAAGCCAACGAAAATCAAAAGGAGGAGGAATCAACAGGACTCGAGGGAAGGACAGTTTTGAGTTTGGGTGACTGGAAGGGAGTGTTGGGGCCCTTGAGTCACCAGGGAAATTGGGAGAGGAAGTTTGGCGGGGAGGACAAAGAGCTCAGTCATAAACTCATGGAGTTCTAGCTGCCATACCTAGAGCAGACAGTGGGCAGGACGGTTCGGCCTTCCCATGATCCATTTCCTCTTTGTCAGAGGACAGCACCCGTTTCCCTAGAGAAACTCATCCTCCCTCCTACTGTGCCAATCAGACAGCCCTGCTTTCTTCCTCCTGGGAATTCTACAGGGGGGCACCTGGATGGGAAATGGTGGGGGCTGATGCCAGCCCATGGTGGGCTCCCCAAGATCCTGCTACCAAGATCCCCAGAACCTCCTCAGCTGCTGTCCATTCGGAGGCCTGGTTCTTCAGCTTTTCCATCACCATTCTGTTTAGCCAGGGCCAGCTTCTGTTGCTTGCAATCAAAGAACCCTAGCCGAAAACGTAGTCTAGGCAACTGGCAACACAAGGTTGAGGGGGCTCCAGGGAGACCTTGGGGATGGAGATATAAATGCGAGGAGGAAGTGATATCCAAAGACACAGAATATGTCTTCAGTTCACCGAACTGAGGAGTCCACAGAGAGCAGGGGAGGGAATCAAAGAAGCACCTGAAGGGACTGAGAAGGAGGAAGAAGGTAGCCAATCGGGTGCTGAGGCTGCTCTGTTCCTGGGCCAGGCCGAATGGATCCTGAATCAGGAGCCCGGGAGCTGAGGACCGAGGGAAGAAGGACATCTCTTCCATTCCCACCCACTCCCTGCTCTTCCTCCAGTCTTGTGGGTTCCTTTAGGGCAGTGGTTCTCAGCCTTCCTAACGCTGAGCCTGTAATACATTCCTCATGCTGTCTGTGGGCGCATCTGCATGTGGGCGGACCCGCCTGGAGACGGATGGTCTTAGGCGACCCCTGTGAAAGGGTCATTCCATCCCCAAAGGGGTCGCAACCCACAGTTTGAGAACCGCTGGTCTAGGGACAAGAAAGAGAAGGGCTAACAGCTCGGTCTTCATTAGGTTCTTTACTGACAGTAACGTTCTCAGGACAGCCACGGACCATCCTCTGTGAGGATGAAGGATCTTTGCCCCACGGCCACGGGATGGATGTGACCAAAGTGCTTAATGAATGCACTGTCCCCAATGCCCACCCACACAGCTTGCAGGCATGAATCGAAACGCCCGAATTCTTCAGAGACGGCGGCTGGAAATGCAACGTTACATGAAATGTTTCCAATTTGCTTTCAGCCAAATTACCTCTTTTGCTTTAAAGGGCAAACTTGTTTTCTTTGATTATGATGACGCCTATCAGCTCTTGACAGCTCATTTGGGTGAACAAGAAAAAGCCTGTGGAACTAGGATCCGGGGAAACACGTCGGACTCTGATGACAAAAATCACTGGAGAATCTCTTTTCCTCGAATTCTAATATGATCATTTCATGTCCTTTTTTTTTTTAATGCCACCAACCTTAATATTTAAATCATTTCCAACTTCAGCCTCTTCTTTGAAAATTCCTGCCCTGAGAGTTGAAGCAAGATTGTTAATGGATGGGGAACTTTAATTGGATCTTCCCTTTATTTGTCATTAATTCTGCTGATGAACTTTATAAATGGAAATATATCTTTATCATGCAAATTATACCTTGGCTTCATTCAAGAGGGCTGGTTGGATAGTTTATTACTTTCATTCTCAGAACATTTTGAAGGGGGAAAAAAAAAGTTTTGCAGTAAATTATATTTTTGCCCCTCAGGAGAAAAAGGGGAAGAAAATTTAACCTTACAACTACCCCATAAGTCCAACACTGGTGTGTGGGGAAGTCAGAGGGTGTTAAGAAAACTGGAATATGTGTGTGTGTCTGTGGGGGGGGATCTCATTTTAAGGAATACCATTTTAATATTAGCTAATTCTTGAGAACATACTATGTGCCAAATGCTATTCTAAATTCTTTTTTTTTTTTTTTGTCCTCACCTGAGGACATTTTTCCAGTTTTTGTTCAGAGTAGGAAGGAGAGAGAGGTAGAGAGAGAGAGAAACATCAACGTGAAAGGGACACATGGAGTGGCTGCCTCCCACAGGACCCAACTAGGCCAGGGACAAACCGCAACTGAGGTACGTGCCCTTAGCAGGAAATGAATCCGGGTCTCTCTGGACCACAGGCTGACGCTCTAACCACTGAGAAAACTGGCCAGGGCTAAATTCTTTTTTTTTAAATCCTTATCCGAGGATATTTTTTTCCATTTATCTTCAGATAGAGTGGGAGGGAGAGAGGGATGGAGACAGAGAGCGAGAGAGCGAGAGCGAGAGCGAGAGAGAGAGAGAGAGAGAGAGAGGAGAGACACATTGATTGGTTAGCCTCCAGCACAACCTGACCAGGGCTGGAGATGAACCGCAACCCCAGGTACGTGCCCTTGATCAGAATCGAACCCAATATTCTTTGGTCTGCAGGCCGACACTCTAACCACTGAGCCAAACAGGCCAGGGTTAAATTCTTTACATGAATTAACTCTTTTATTCCTCAGAACAACCTTATGAGGCCGGAGCTTTTATCACCTCCGTTTAGACAGGAGAAGGGAGGCAGAGAGGGGTTGGATGTTTGGCTTACAGCTAGGAAGTGACAGAGCTAGGAATGCAGCCGGCCGTCTGTCTCAGGAGCCTGCACCCCGAACCACTCTTCTGGCCAGTCTCCCGATTTCAAGACTGACTTCGATGGTGGACCCAGTGGAATGATTCTGTGCCGGTCCAGGTTTGGTGAATCCTGTCAAGCAGACTTAGAGAACAGAAGTGTTTAAGATTCAGTTCCTCCAACAGTCAATCTACTTAACAGCTACAAATATGACTATTCATATCTGTTGTTTCATATATGTACGTGTGTACACACACACACACACACACACACGACTTGATCTTTCTACAGCCACAAAGTGTTCCTGCTGGTGTCACATTCTCATGGGCACACCCAGGATTAGACACAGTTTGTAACAACAGAGTGAGCGGTGATCCCATCTGGTTCTCCTTAAGAAAGCTCATCAGGAGCAGCCGGTGTGGCTCAGTGGTTGAGCGTCGACCCTGCACCAAGCCATCACCAGTTCGATTCCCAGTCGGGACACATGCCCAGGTTGTGGGCCCGAGCCCCAGTGGGGGGCATGCAGGAGGCAGCCAATCAATGTTCTCTCTCATTGATGTCTCTCTCTCTCTCTCTCTCTCAAATCAATAAAGAAAAAAAAAAAAGCAAGTGAGTGAGACTAAATTATTTCAGGGGAAGCTTTGAATCATCTCTCATTGATTATTATTATTATTATTTTGTTGTTAATCCTCACCGGAGAATATTTTTCTGCTGTGTACTTTAGGCAAGTCAATCAACCTCTCTGAACTTTGGCTTCCTCATCTGCAAACTGGGGACAGTAAGGGGACCCACAGTTGATAGAACTGCTGTGAATATGAAATGAAGTCCTGGTTCAATAATGCTTAGCTTTAATAACTTTTTTATGACCTCAAAAATGATAATTTAATATTGATATTTGGATACTTCTTAAGTTAGAAGATAGTACTTTTCCTCAGAACACTATATATGTTTTTGTGAGAAACATTTATAAAGAGCCAAACTGGCCCGTTTGGCTCAGCGGTTGGAACATTGGCCTATGGACCAAAGAGTCCCGGGTTTGGTTCCCACTAGGGGCACGTACCAAAAAAAAAAAAAAAAAAAAACCAACAAAAACAAACTAACAAACAAAAAAGCCGTGGCCAGTTTTGCTCAGTGGTTGAGTGTCAGCCTGCGGACCAGAGAGTCCCGGGTTCGGTTCCCAATTTTTACTATTTCTGTTAAAAATTTTTCTGGTTTCTACATTATTCATGTTTTTCTGTGAGTGATGGAGAACAGAAATCCATTAAACTACTCACCCTTCTCCAGTTTCCTCCTCCTTACAAATTAATTCATCATGATTTTTAACTCC